CTTTCTTTACTTATGAGTCCTGAATCTCTAAACGTATTTAGGCTCAGGCAGACAAGCATTCACACTCTTATCCAATTTGAATTTTTTCTAAATTCATCAAACCTCAGAGCTAATATATGATCCTTAGTTTCATGAAAACACTGGGTAAGTTCAGCATTACTGTGGAAATCTACCTTGTGAGAAAGATTAATTGCATTTTTCTCATCTTCCCTTGTTTCGCTACATGATTATTTTTTAACAATAGGCTAAGTGAGGTATAATAAGTTCTCCAAGTGATAAAGATTAGAGATAATATTTGTGAATATTTTAAAGTGTTGCTTGAAATATCCTCCTTACCATTACTTCCTTCCTTCTCTGCCTGACCTCATTCTCCTACATTTAAACATCTTTGATTTTCTTTTCTTGGGCCTTGAGACTCTTCATTCCAGTGCAGGCACCCAGAAATTAGTCATTGAATGTTATCATTGGAGGATTGGAAGAAAAGAGAAAAGCAGCAAATCCTTGGCTTTTAAACTCAAAGTTCACTTCCTATGCAAGAAGGAAGTATGTAGGAAGAATATTTGTTATCCAGTTCAGAAGTCCCTTCACTCCTGCCAGGAGCTCCTCTGAACTGTAGAAGAGAATAGAACAGACAAGAAAGCAAGATAGCTTAGTGCTGGGCCCAGGCTCTGCTTCTGTTCTCTATTCAGGGTTATTTTAAAACAGGGGGAGGGGGTATTGATAAGTGTGGATATCCAAAAGTAGAGGGGGCTAATTCTGGAGTATCAGCAGGCATCACTCTTATAATACTTCCTATATGGACAAGGGGAGTCCTGATGGCTTTTTGTGTTATCTAAGACAATAAAATCTTGATAAAGATTTAGGGAGTTTGGAACTTCAGAGAAGCATTGGAAAATAGCTCATTTTTTCCCCCACTACCTTCAAAAAGGGTACAAGATTTGCTGACAGAAAGAACCAGCAGTCCAAAATGACTTCTCAGTTTTGGTTGTTTGATGCTACCTCAGACCATGAAGCAGTGACAGAACCTTAGAGAATGGCAGTGACAATAGGTGCAGGAACAGATGCCAGGAGAGGCAGAGGTCATCTTGGCATAAAACAATGTAGTACAGTCAACAGCTACAGGCCAGACATCCCCTTCTGGCCTCCTTCCCTTCTGTGTAAGCTGTTTAAAATTAGATGCCGGGGGGCGCCTGGGTGGCGCAGTCGGTTAAGCGTCCGACTTCAGCCAGGTCACGATCTCACGGTCCATGAGTTCGAGCCCCGCGTCAGGCTCTGGGCTGATGGCTCGGAGCCTGGAGCCTGTTTCCGATTCTGTGTCTCCCTCTCTCTCTGCCCCTCCCCCGTTCATGCTCTGTCTCTGTCTGTCCCATAAATAAATAAAAACGTTGAAAAAAAATTAAAAAAAAAATAATAATAAAATTAGATGCTGGGTTGAGAAGAAAGAAGAGGGAGGGAAATTTTGAATGAACTACATTTAACCTGAAATGACCAAAAAGAGCTAGAAATGACTAAGATTTTCTATTTCCTACCATTTAGGCAGGATGGGACTTGACATTCATTTATTCAACATACGTTTATTGAACAGTTATTATGTGCCAGCCACTGTTCTATGTACTTGAGACACACTGGGGGAAGGGATTGATGCCCTCATGGAGCTTACATTCTAGCAGGCAATAAGAGTGATTAGGAGACTGGTTTGGGGGTGAGTACGTTGCAGTATTAAGGTGAAATTTGAGCAGACATGTGATAGACATTAGGAGGTTAGCAAACCTGGTATTCTGGGCCAGAGTATTCCTGAGAGAGGCAGCAGCCAGGACAAAAGTCCTAGAAAAAGTAAAAAGAGTTGGAGCAGTAAGAGGTGGAGGTCAGAGAGGTAGTGAAGGGCAGATCACTAGGGCTTACAACTCATTTTTATAGAATTTATCTTTTACTTTGAGTAAAACAAGACTATATTAAAGTGCTGAGGAGTAAAGTGATCCTTCGCTGTTTCAAAGGATCATTCTGCCAACTGTGGTAAATATAGATGGAGGGAGCAAGGATAGTCACAATGAAGCTGTTACTGTAATCCAGGCAGGGAACGATAGTGGCCATTGTGAAGATGGGCACAAGTGATGAGATTCTGAATATATTTTAAAGGTGGAGCCAACAGGACTTCTTACTGGACTGGATGAAGGATATGAGAGAAAGGGAGGAATCAAGAGAACTACAAAGTTGTCTGTCTTGAGATACTGGAAGGATGTAGTTGCAGCCTCCTCAGACGGGGTTGGACGAAAGATCAGGAGATTGATCTTTGACACATGATATATTAAGTTTGAGGTGTTTTATCAGACAGCCAATTGGAATTTGAGTGGGCAGTTAGCTACATGAGTCTGGAAAGACCTTTTTTTTTAATTTTATTTTTTCAAATTTACATCCAAATTAGTTAGCCTATAGTGCAACCATGATTTCAGGAGTTGATTTCTTAGTGCCTCTTACCCATTTAGCCCATACCCCCCTCCCACAACCCCTCCAGTAACCCTCAGTTGGTATTCCATATTTATGAGTCTTGGAAGGACCTTTAGTAGAGATATTAATTAAGGAGATTTCAGCATAGAGATAATATTTAAAGCCATGAGGTTGAATTGAAGGCTTGCTCCCAGTAATATGTTTTAGTCGTCTAACAGATCTACATCTTACAAATAACAACTATGAATTCTAAACAAAACACCAAAATCAGCTACTACAAAGGCTCTGAGCGGTTAACAAACCAGATGGGTTATAAAGGAAAATTGAAACTTGTTAGAAGTAACTGGTATGGGGTGAGTTTCCTCATCTTTACAAAGGCTTTTAGCTTGAGTATCATCTTCAGTGGTTTCTGCAAGGACTGTTTTCAGTTGCAGTAAGGTTAAGTTTTTCTGGCCTGAAGAATCATAAGACAAGAGTTTGGGGCAACCACAGAAGAATAAGAAGTGAATGAGGAAACAGAGCCGGAAAAGGGGATTCCCTACTCCTTATGTATGAACTCTAAGATATCTCTGGCTGACACTTGAGCCATACTTGATTGAAAAAAATTTCAGCTAAAGACAAAAGAAATGAACTGATATTTGAGCTACCTCTGCTGAGACAGTTTGTAGTTTGAGTCAAATTAAATTAACTCTCTGATGAAAACATTTTTCTTTTTGGAGGAATAAAATAAACAGCTTCCACGACGTGGCATTTTTAATGCCCTGAATGCAATCTGAAATTATTCAAAATAAGAAAAATCAGGAAAATGTGACTATTCTAAAGAGAAATAACAACCAGTGGAAGCCAACCCTGAGATAATGCAGATGCTAGAATTAGCAGGCAAGGATTTTAAAGTAGCAATTTTAACTGCTCAGAGAGGTAAAGTAAAGATGTTTGTACTGGATGAAAGGAAAATCTTAGCAGAAAAACAACAACAACAACAAAAAACATAAAAAAAGAATCCACTGAAAATTCTAGAACTGAAAAATAGTGTATCTAAATTAAAGAATTCCCTGGATGGGCTTAACAGAAGAATGGAGATGATAAAGGAAAGAAAGAGTCCATGAACTTGAAGAAATATCAGTAGAAATTATTCAATCTGAAAAAGTAGAAAATAAAGATCATAAATTTGAAGAGAGACTTAAATATCTGTGAGCAGTATCAAAAAGTCTAACACAATTGTAACTGGAGCCCAGAAGAGAAGAAAGAGAATGGGCCAGAAAAAGTATTTGAAAAAAAAGTGGCTGAAAGTTTCTCTGATTTGGTGAAATACACAATACTTCAGATTCAAGAAGCTAAGCATTCCAGGTCAAGGTAAATATAAATCAAACTGTGATCATCATTGTCAAACTTTTGAAAACCTATCTTGAAAACAGCAGTAGAAAAATGACTCATTATCTACAGGGTAGTAATGATTTGTAAAATCACAAACTTCTAATCAGAAACCATAGACACCATAAGATGATGGAACAATGTCTTTTAAGTACTAACATAAAGTCCTGGAACTACATAGGATCACTAAGGAAGTAGACAGAGAAGAGGAACCAAGAAATTAGATGAAGTGATAAGAAAGAAGGAAAACTGAGAAGTAAGTATCCTGGAAAATGTTTTGAGAAATACGCTATGGTCAACGGTGTCAAATGCTACTATTATGTCAAGGGCAGATTCCAACCGTTGAATTGAACAACAGGATGTCAGTAATAATCTTTACAGGCGTAGTTTTGGTAGAATAGTGGGCTTTAGGCCTGATTGGAGTGGGTTGAAGAGAATGAGAGGAAAGAAATTGAAAATTATAAGTAAAGGCAACTTTCAAAGAATTTTGCTGAGTAAAAAAGAAATGGAGTAGTCATTAATGTGGAAACTGGGGTCGAGAGAAGGTTTTGCTTTATTTCGTTACATGCTAGTTAGCATAAACAAAAAAAAGTGATAATTTGGATAAGAGGGAAAGAATTGTGCAGTGTTATCAGGTCTGTAGAAGAAAAAAACAATACAGCCAATTGAGTTAGAATAAAAATCATGCACATGAACATAAGGCTTTATTCTCTTATCTCCTCTATCTTGGACAAAGCTTGTTATTCCCGAGGCTTTACTGTTTGCAATTTAATCATTTGTCAGTGCAAATATTTGAAAAATATGTCCACTAAAATTCTATGATTTTATAGAATAGTAACTTTGATTTCTTTGTGTTTCTAATTATGGACAGTCCCAAATTATGAACAATACATGTTTTAAAAATTGCTTTTTAAGTGATTTCAACAGTCCAAAAGCATTTTTATAATAACATTGATGTTATATGAGGTAGTTTATCCTGACCAGTCCACAAAATCCTGTAAAGTAACTGAATTGTAATACTCCTTATCTGAGAAGTCTCAGCTTTTCAGACTTTTATTTCTATGGAAAAATTTATTCTAATTTCTAACCCAAGATTCTGGAACACATCTTCCATTGTGAAGTGGGCTTACAGGTGGGAGTGGAAACACAGCCTCCTGGTCATACTCCCCACCCTCATCTTCCAGCAATGAGGGTAGGCCATCAAAGTTCTCATGGCACCAAGGATTGAAACAATGGGGTAATGGAGACCCTGGACATTTATTTTCTCACCAGTGAAAATTAATGAAGACTCAGGAGTTACTACAACATTAGTGATGAGAAAGAAGTTTCAGCAGCTAGACTGTGTTGGTGAGTTCTTGGTTACATGGCTGTTTATATGATATACATATAAGGGTGTGTTAAAGTCTTTCTGTGTGTGTGTGTGTGTGTGTGTGTGTGTGTGTGTGTGTGTATGCACACATGCATGTGTTGTTATTTCTGTGTATACTGAAGTCCTGTTGACCTGAAAACCCAACATGTAAAACGTGCCAATGAATAAACTTTTGTACCAATCTTTGATTTTATGACTAAGAGATAAATGTTCAGTAAGTAAATTAAAAGCAGATTTATTCCCATATACGTACAGAAAAGTATGTATGTATGTATGTACGGGAAAACTGCATTTCCTATGTATTCTGCACCTACAAGATTGTGCAGTGATTATGATGTATGTGTTCAATGATGATGCTAAAGGCAGAGAAAAAATCCTGAAGGAATTCTGAATCACCCACAGTTAAATTATTTTCAGCATAGATTCAGTACTCTTTGTAAATCTTTGAACATTGACAAACCATATAATTCTTGGGTAAAAGAACTGTTAATCAGAACAGTTCCCAATTATGGGAGTGAAAACTTAAGGTTGTGCCCTTAAGTGGAGAGACACTTTGTTTGAGAACTATTGAAGGTTTTTTGTTTGTTTTGTTTTTGTTTTTGTTTTTTCACTTTTCTTCTTGATCTTCTCTGGGTCATCATTATAACTGTCTCCATTAGCTGTTTTATGCCCATCTTGAAATGTAAAGCTGATAATTTTAGATACACTTTGGACTTTAAGAATTGGAGGTGCATTTGCCTATTTGTGAAGACACCAAATAACTTGAAATTTGCTGGATGGAGTGTATATATCTATATCTATATCTATATCTATATCTATATCTATATCTATATACACACATATATATATATATCTCAAACGCACTAGAGCACTTGAGCTCAAAAGGTTTCAAGTCATGGTAATTACGACTCACTAAGAGTAAGAATTATAGCTAAGTAATTTTCTTTTCTTGGTTCAAAAGAAATGGGTACACAGATGTATATTCTGAATACTTACAGAGTCTTAATTGCCTGTCAGGAGGTAGTATTTAGGAGCATGATTAAATGGGTTAAGACACATCTAGAAAGGAAACTTCTAAGAGAGGAGGTACTGGTTAATGCTGCTTCTGAGATTGAATTTGAGATTTATAGCATACTCCCGTTTAAAAAAGAAAAGTTATATATGGTTTATGCACACATTGTTAGAAACTGAATTGTTTACAAATGATATATTTTATGCTGATTCATTGGCATTGTTTCTAACATAATGGTTGCTGTTTCAAATCTTTCTTTTGAAAAACAGCACAGACATTTTTAAATGCCAGGATGTCTTCTCTATAATCTTGTTCTTCTAAGATATCACTAGTGCGGTGATCAGGAGCTATTTGTTCAATCATGACCTGTGAGGCTTTCATAACCTCTTATAAACTTAAGTGCCAAATCACCAGGCTGGATATAATTACGTTTTAGTGATTTCTTTGAGCTTTGAAGGCTAATGGATAGCCTCAAGTATTTAAATAACTGCTTGAACTTTCTTAATTGATACAAACTGTCTGTAATAATTCCACTTTGTCTAGTATGCCACATGAACAGCTTTATCTTAGGTTTATATACTAAATTGATAGTGTTCAATGGTACATGATATGTATATGAGCCCTTGTCTTATTGAATTGTACGTGAGATAATCATTCTAAGTTATATTTTAAAGCTATGCACCAACTTCACAAACTAATACACTGGAATTAAAGTTTGTATGCTAGATCAACAAATTTAGTAGTTCATATCAAATATTGTCAGTCTTTTGTAAATATACTAAGACTTATACACCCAAATGATTTTTCCTATTTTTTTCACATTGCAAATTTATATGGTCGCATATTTACGTTTCAGTTAAGATAAAAAATAACCATGTTAAATTTACGAAAACCACACCAAATGATCTAATATCTAATTATAAAGAATAATAATTTGCAGACTTTTAATTTTCATTGGAGGGTTTTATTGATTTTCTACATTAAAAATCATCAAGATGTATATCAAGGAATAACTGGGTTCATATCTTGTTTTCCTTTAAGAAAATCATATCATAAAGTGTACAGTATATATTGACCAGAATCGGGATATAATGTAAATTGTTATAACATAAATGTGGAATGAAAAAAAGAATTATAAAAAAAAACAAAACATTTTTTGGAATTTCTCATTAAGAATTAACCTTAGCTGTGACTGACATGTGACACTTGGCAAACTTTGACATTTTATGAACAGCTGTTTGTTCATCTGTAAGATGGGAAAAAAAATTATGCAGACTACCAATACTCAACACCTCTTGATGTTTATGGACAGTCAATAAATTTTACCTTATCATTATCATTCTTACTGTTATTGTCATTATCATAAGAAATGCCTTATTACTTTTTAGTTTCACTTTGATTATAACAAGAAGTTATGATCCAGATTTGACTTAAGATGACCTTAAATTATTTTCAAAAACAAAGTAAGTCCCCAAAGTATTAAGATATGATACCATTTATGTTGTTTATAAGAATGTTTCAGAAAATCTAAAGGCAATTCATTTTTCTGAAAAGCAACTACTTGAGGCGAATACTACTTATTTGAACGTATACATTTTTGTATGTTTGAAAACAATGGTGGTGTTCTATAATTAGTTATATATTGTATATTTTTATTCACTCTATTCTGCCCCTTAATAAATAGGTTATATAAAATCATATAAGTCATTAAATAGGTACTATTAAATCTAAATCACCAAACTTAGATTACTCTCAGATTGTTTGCTTATGTATTATCATAGATGTGTTATTTTTGGTGTTGGTTTTGTTTGATAGTTGTTATTTAAAAAGATGTGGGGTGTGTGTGTGTTTATGTGTGTGTCTTTTTGTGGGATCATCAGCAACTAATATACCATAGTAAAAAATCTTTGGAATAAATCTTTCCTTCAGTGTTCTATAGATATATGATTTGAGGGTTTTGCATGATTACTAAGAAATCCTTTAGTATGGGGAAACTATATTATATTCAGAATTTTTTTTTATTAAAAAGGAAATTGAGTCATTTGCATGCATCTTTCCCCATTGTTAGAAAAAAAGAGTAAGTCATGATTAAAACAAAACAAAACAAAACTGTATATAAATGACTCTGTTACATCCATAAATTCTTGGATACAGGTTGGTAATTTTGCAGGTTGATAATTTTGGTGTGTATTATTCCCAGTTTCAGGAATTGATGGATATGGGATAGCCATTTATGTGAAATTTTCTTTTCTACTGGTAGCCATTAGCCACATGGGACTATGAACATTTGAAGTTTGGCTTGTGTGACTGAGAAATAGAATTATAAATTTTATTTAGTATTAGTTTATTTATATGTACATTTAAACAGCCACATGTGGCTAGGGGATGCCTTATCGGACAGCACAATTCCAGATTCATGAGGAATTTTCATATATGGTTATGTTTATGCTATGGCTTGCTGCTGACAATGCCCAGAGTACAAGTGCCTTGGGGTGGCTTACCCTTAAACCAATCTTGTCATTTTAAAGACATGGCCCATGCAGAAGACTACAAAGCAAATAATGGCAGAGATGAGACTCAGATCTCCAGATATTGTATCCCAGTCTCAGAATCCCCAACAGAACTTAATTTCTGACTTCCTTATGACAATTGATAAACTTGGTAGATGATGATAATGATTTTCAACAACCACAATAATTAAACTCTATTTCCCTTCCTGTGGTGCACTGATAAGAAATGAGAAAAAGGAGACAGAATAAAGGGGACATTTGTATAACTAGACTCTGCTTCTTATCTTTCCAGTGAGTCCGTTGACAGAAATGGCCATATTCCTAATAAGCATTATCCCTGGACTTGGTTACAAATCATTAGTTGAGTTCATTATGTGAAAGTCATTAATTTGAGTATAACATAATGCTATTTGATAAAGAATGACATTGATATATAAATCAAAGAGGGCAACGTTTCAGAATTTTCTGATAATAAAATATAGACTATTTTAATAATAGCAAATTCATGTTACAATGAAGTACACAGGGTCAGTAATTTGGGGGTCAAAAGGCCCTTGCACATAAATTACTAAATAAATGTCCAAAGCCATCTAGAGACTGAGACAAGAATCTTTATGTCTTCTTTTCAGTTATATACTAGCTGTTTGGTATGTTGTTCATTTGCTAGAATAGAATATCAAACAGCTAGCATCTAAGAAGCAAATAACTACAGTGTGAACTTTAAAGTTACCTTAACTGTGATGGAACACAGAAGAAATTGTCACATAGTTGTTTTCATTTTCCCAGTCTAGATTTCACAATGGATCTCTCAGGTCAATCATTCTTCTCTATTATTTTTAAGAATATTTATAGGAGGACGCATAATATGAAATTCCAATCTCTGACATTTTAATAAGAATAATTTTGGCAGTGTTTCGCAGGATTACATTTTTAAGATTTCATGACTTGTAGGCCCAAATGCTAGAGACTTTTTGGTAGAATTTTAGTAGATGTTAATAATATTTCTGCTAGAAATTAGAACTAGGCTCAAGTTCTAGTGAAAAGATATTCTTGAAATTAACAGTAGTAAACTGTTGACTGTCTGTAGGGGTCCATCTTGTGTTCAAAACTGTTTATAATATTCTGGAGGTCCATATGAAATAATTTACTCTCACCAATAAAATTTTGTTTGTGGAAAGGGCAAAGGCTCTGAGCTTAAAATGTTTATATATTTTTAACTTGCCATGAAGGCATGTGCTTTTTATTTCCTTGAGACATTGTTTGAAAATCCTCTGTTTAAAGATGTTCTCCAAACTTTAGTAATAATCATAGGTTCATATTGAGCAGCTTGTCAAATCTTGGGCAGAAAACAACAGAAATACTTGCAAGAGAGATTCTGAGTTTGGAAGAACTGAGCCCCAAACTGAGTTTAAAGTTAGATAAATGTCAAATTTGGGTATCTACATGGATTTGATATACTAATTCCTTTCTTGATATGCAACTTCTTTTTATCTTTGTAGGTTACCTATGAATATCAAATTGACACCCATTTAAATTTGCTCTCTTGTATTCCACTGGAAAGATCCCTGTTTAGAACTACAGGATATAAGGGCAAGCATACACATTACTCCTAATAAATTAATAATGAAGAGAGAGCTATCATTACTACATTGTAAATTATACAGTGAGTCTTAGGTGATTTATTTAGTAGCTTAAACACCTAGGAAATTTCCCTAGTTGGCAGCAATTGAAAATGCATATTAATTGCATTTTCCATCCCACATCTGAAATAAAAGGAGAATGTCAGGAATAGATTAATTCTGGTTTCCTTTTGAATATCATATTTTAATTTCTTCTATGTTTCTTTAATCTTTTTAGCAGTGCTTAAGGATTGGAAGATGTTGATTAAAGCATTTCCTCTGATTAATTATATTTTGGCTTTCAACTGTTTTATTTTATTTTAAAATGAAGTGCACACACATTGTCTGGATTATGTGAGCATCTGCTCGTCTTTGCAAATATTTATATAAATCTTACTGCCACCCTGTTCCCTCCAAGTTCTCACTGCTTAGCTAATCCTGATTGCATCTCCTCATTAAGCCATCTTCAGGATATAGAAACATAAATAAAACAGACTAACAGCCCACATTTCAGGGATATTTGTGTGCATGGCTTACCATTTAACTCATGTTATTAAATTCTCAGAATTCATTCTGAAATTACAGGGTTTCCTTTACCTCTGCTTTCTTTATTTATACATCTGATTATTATTAACCTAAGAACTATTTTGGATATAATGACTAGGACTTTATCAAAAGGATGTACTATTTTTTAAGAAAGGTCTATGAGACTAATATGACTAAAAATTTAGAATTTAGTAGGCGGCTTAAAGATGACACATAAATGTTGAATATCTCCTGTTTTCCCCCCTTTAACTATCCTTCATATTTGTTTCTTCCTTTGTTATGTATCTGTGGGCTCAGAAAATAAAATATAGTACCCCTCCACAGGGATGGAATGCTAGGACTTACTATAAAGATTGTCCTTCACCTGGGTTTCCTTAACTAATTATGGCTTTCATATGGGGACAGTACTTTAATCTGGGGTCTTAGCTTTATTTCATGCTTTGATACAGAGTGAGAGACATCTATTTGACTTCATTTTACAAATTGTCCTTTGACCATGTAGTTTCTGTAGAAGGAATGATTTTTTTTTGATAGTAAATTTCTAAGACTGAGAATTTCTCTTCTTGCAGCTTTATGTAATTATGTTCAAAGGGGTTTGAATTAAAATGGAACAGATGTGTCCATCTTTAATTATGGTGTAACAAATTGTGTTACTCTAAGGCTTTATTAAGCGAAACGCTCATCTTTATGTAATAATGGGTCAGACAGTTTCAAAATGATATCGGTGAACACAGTGTATTGCCTATTTCACTTAGACTTCAAAAGGACTGTTAAAATTCAGAGACTCTGCATGTAGAACCGGAAGAAACTATAGAAAATGTGCATTAATTTTTTTTTTTATTTCAAGTTAAGTGAAAACAGTTGTTAGGAACATATGAATTTTAATGTCATGTAAATAAGACAAACAAGGTAACATTTGGCATGACAGGTATATCTAACAGATAATGGGAATATTCAACTCTGTGTTGGAAAATGCAATTTTTAGGCTTTCTGAAAACTCTTTTGTATTCTTTTGTGCAGATACTCTCTTATAAATGTGTGTCCAGGACTTTTTTTTTGGAGGGGGGATCACTTCTAAGTCAGTACCATAAAGTCCTTTTTAGAACTAGCTGGCAGCTACTTAACCAAAAATTAGCAAGAAGAATATGGATAGCACAATTCCTGTGACATGAGTCCCATTCCAAGGTTTCCATTTCTGTCTTTAGTACCATAATCCTTTAATGCTTCAGGACATCTCCAAACCCTTATACTTTTTCCATTCCCATAACCCAATCTGTCACCAATTATTAATTTTATTTTTGATTTTCTTTCTTTACATACTCCCTCTGCTTCATTATCAACCACCACTGGAATCCAGGTTCCATTACCTCATATGCCAATTATTCCAAAAGTTTTCTAACACATTTTCTTGACCCTTCTCTCCCCTTTTCATTCTCTTCTTCAATTCATTGCCAATCTAGTATAAAATAATAATTTTATTATGCATTGTTTTCTAAAATATTGTGGTGGATATAAATTGTCTATTGTACAAGGCCATACTTTTAGGTCTAGTCTTCTGGATCATACATAATCTCTAATCACCTTCTTCTCACTACTCCTCAATAAAGCTGGTGATACAATCTTCCTTTCATCACATCTTTCAGTAACAAAACCCAGCCTATTCCAGGCACGGTTGTTCACTGCATGCCAAAATATACACCTTTATCTTCACCTCTGCGCTCTTTCTCCAACCTACGATGCCCTGCTGGCTTCCTCATTAAACTTTCCCTTTCTTGAAAGGTCAGATTCATCATGATGTGTTTTTTTCTTTTTTGCACTTTTCCCTGTCCCTGAGTTGTCAGTTCAGTTTTGATTCATACTTTAGTTATTTTCTGAACTAGCTTTGAGTTTTCATAAATATCTTAGTCTTGTGAACCAAGGTCTAATTCACAGAGTGACTCAGTGAAAAGTATACATTGGTTGGTCAATTGACATGCCTTCTTTGAGGGATTCATTGCTAAGACTGTCTTTGTGTTTACTGGGGTGGGCAGAGGGCAAAAACAGGAGATGGGTAAGAGAAAAAATTGGGGACACTAATATTTTATTTTTTACAATGTCTGTAAAATTGTTGGACTTAAGGAAACACGTACACTAAATTCAATGATGAGGGAAAAAAAGTAAACTTCACAGAGCTGTAGTAAACACCAGATGTTGAAAGAGGATCTTACCAGACTAGCCATCTTCATCTTTCATCTCTAGGAGACAAATTACAACAGAGAACCAGAGTAAACATTAAGAAACCATAGAGGACATTAAGTGAGAATGCAGAGCTATAGATTTCAAAACAGAAGACCCACCCAGGGAGCCACTCAGTTTGTCCCTCCATTATCCAAGGCTGCTGCTCTATGTCCTTCTGCCTCCATAGGGATCTGCTGGTCTTTGTCCTTCGCTTTCCCCTCCCTTCCTGCAATAGATGTGCACACTCACATTTTCAGGATCCAAGGAAGGGAACAAAGCTTGATTCTCTGATTCACCCAGAACATTGACCCAGAACCTCTTTAACTCTGTTGAATTAAAAATAAGACAAGAACTAAAACTGAGTTAGTTATCTAATATTAGAAAACAAAGAAATGTTGATCATTGGCTTCTTCTGGTTCACTAAGAGTATTTTTATGACTTGAACATATACAGTAGGATTTTTCTTATCCTTCAATTACCAATTTAAAGAAACACAGGTATCAGTTATATTAAAAAGTATGGAGTAGAGTAAATTAAAAGTAATATACCAAAGTGAGATGCTACAAATGAATAACATCTTATGGCATGAAATAAATGGGGCAAAGCGGACAGGGCGTCAAAGATGTTGATGTCTTGTCTTTTTTTTCTAATATCAAAATGATTACAATGCTTATAGAAAATTTGTACAGAGAGAAAAACAGAAGATAAAAAGCTTACCTTTACTCATCTACCACCAAGTGATAACATCTTACCAAGTGGTAGTTTTGTATAGATAGACATTTTTTTATTACAAAATGATACCTCATTTATGCTGTTTAAAAAAACTTTTTACTTAACAATATATAGTCTTTTTTCATGTCAGAATGATATTATACTAGAGCTTTTATGCCTAATTTAAAGCAACATTGAATGTAAGGTAGCTCCCATTTGCCTTATTAGAAGGTCAATTTATTTAGTTACAAAGACATTTAAAATCATATATTTTAGCAAACACTAAGTTAATTTTAAACTGCTAATTTTTAAAAATTTCATATTTTATGAAATGCCATTAATTTTTCATCATTGGAGACTTTCTTTTGAGTCACCAGCTTTTTAGAGCCCATCATCTATACTTGGTATCTGTTTATGATGCTTACTGGAAATTTTATCTCATGATATAAGTATTCATTTACATAACATTAAGATTTATAGTATTTTTGTTAATCTCCACAATATAATCATTTATCATTTTGCTTTTAAAAGTGATCTTGTTTACCACAATACCAACACTTGGAATTGTGTGGTCAGAATCCGGTAATGTGTTAATTTTCTACAATTCCATTTTTTAAAATTTCAGTCTTATTAACTACCTGTCTATATCTATCTCTCTATTTATATCTATCTATCTATCTATCTATCTATGCATCTGTCCATCTAGCATCATCTATCTAAATATATACACATATAAAACTAACACTGATGAAGGCAATTTTGGGCTCATATCTTCTCCTGGGCCCTGAAATGCCATTCAAGACAAAGAAATTAAGAAAGCACCATTTGGAAATATTGATTTTAAGCTAACTCATTTTTTTTTTTGAGGGATCATTTTGAGGAAAAGAAATTTACCTTATATTTGAGCATGTAGGTTATGGGAAAGGGGATGGTAGGGGAAAATATAGAAAATACGTGTTTGAGGGTTTTTGTGTTTAACACTTGATAAAAACTTATGCTCTACAAGTAGACAATCAAAACTTTTTTTTTTAAAGACATTGACTGAAGGTGATTTTATAGATTATCTGACTTAATACTTCTATTTAGTAAATAAAGAAATAGGACTAAGAGGATACATGACCTTTCGAGTTCCATAGACATTTACAGGGAGCCTTTAAATTAGGCAGGTCTTGGGGGCTCTTGGATGGCTCAGTCAGTTCAGTGTCTGACTTTGGCTCAGGTCATGATCTCAGGGTTTGTGGGTTTGAGCCCTGCATTGGGCTCTGTGTTAACAACTCAGAGACTGGAACCCGCTTCAGATTGTGTGTCCCTCTCTCTCTGCCCCTCCCCCGCTTGCACTCTCTCTCTCTCTCTCTCTCTCTCTCTCTCTCTCTCTCAAAAATAAGTAAACATTTAAAAAATTTAAAAAAAAAATTAGGCAGGTCTTCAGACAGTGTATTGCTTTTTAGTCAATACCATATTGAAATGTAGACTTTTGTATAAAACTCAGTAAAAGGTAGCTCCTATAATCATTAATTAATATTATCATCATTTTCTAAGTCTGTATTTGGTATAGAATGGGTGATACTGATCCAACAGTGCTGGGTGATGGTGGTATAAAAGTAGAGTGGGTGAGTGTAGACCATAATTCAAGAGGTTTGGCTGTAAATAATGGGGAAGGGAGTGCCTGGGTGGCTCAGTCGGTTGAGCATCCAACTCTCTTGATTTTGGCTCAGGTCATGCATGATTTCTCAGTTTGTGAATTTGAGCCCCATGTCCTAGTCTGTGGCATGTCTTTTCACCTTCCTAACAGTCATTTGAAGAGCAGAAGGGTTTTGTTTTTGTTTTTGTTTTTTTAATTTCAGTAAAGTTCAACCTAATTTTTTCTTTTAGAAATGGTGATTTTGATGTCCTTGTCTAAGAAATGTTGACCTAACCCAAAGTCATACATTTTATAGAAATTTATACAAACTTTATAGTTTTATGTTTCACATTTAGGTTTATGACCCATTTTCAGGTTTTGTTTATATATAAAAATGAATATAAATATGTATACAGTATAAGGAATGGATCAAATTTTTGGTCTCTGGTTGAAAAGACAGTCCTTTTCCATTGAATTGCTATTATACTTTTCTCAAAGAAGATCAGGTGTTTTTGTTTGTTTGCTTGTTTGCTTTTATTTTTTGGTAGAGATCTATTCTATTTCATTGTTCTGTGAGGCTATCTTAAAGCCAGCACTACCTTACCTTGAACACTGTATCTTTGTAAGTCTTGAGATCATGTGGTGTTAGCTCTCCACATTAATTTTTACATTTCAAAATTGTTTTGGATGTTCTAGGTCCTTTGTATTTGTATATAGATTTTAGAATTGGCCTTTTAATTTCTATTAAAATGCCTGATGGAATTTTGATTGTGATTGAGTTGAATCTATACATCAATTTGGGGAGAATTAGTATCTTAACAATATTGAATCTTCTGATCCATGAACAACTTTTATCTTTCCATTTCTTTAGATCTTTTAATAATTTACTCAGCAACATTTTTTGTTTTCTTTTTTTTATTTAAAATTTTTTTCTTTAACCTTTATTCATTTTTGACAGAGAGAGAGAGACATAGCGTGAACGAGGGAGGGGCAGAGAGAGAGAGGGAGATGCAGAATCTGAAGCAGGCTCCAGGCTCTGAGCTGTCAGCACAAAGCCTGACACTGGGCTTGAACCACAAACCTCCAAAGTCAGAGGCTTAACTGACTGAGCCCCCCAGGCGCCCCATCATTTTGCTTTTTCATTGTACATTTCACATCTTTTGTCAAATTTATACCTAAGAATTTCATTTGATAATATTGTAAATAGTTTTTTAAATTAGTTTTCTATTATTCATTGCTACTATTTAGGAATACAATTGATTTTTATAGATTGATCTTGTATCTGGCAATTTTGAGAAGTAATTTATCATGACTAGCAGCTCTTGGTAAATTCCATCAGAATCTCTTCCAGACAACAATATCAACTGCAAATAGACAGGTTTATTTCTTTATTTACATAAAAATGCCTTTCTCAGGTGAATAATTACAGTAGCTAGAAATGTCAGTACAATGTTGAATAGATGTGGCAAGAGTGAATATGCTTGTTTTGTTACTGAACTTAAAAAGAAAGTATTGGGGCACCTGGGTGGCGCAGTCGGTTAAGCGTCCGATTTCAGCCAGGTCACGATCTCGCGGTCGGTCCTGGAGTTCGAGCCCCGCGTCAGGCTCTGTCTGGGCTGATGGCTCAGAGCCTGGAGCCTGTTTCCGATTCTGTGTCTCCCTCTCTTTCTGCTCCTCCCCCGTTCATGCTCTGTCTCTCTCTGTCCCAAAAATGAATAAACGTGGAAAAAAAAATTAAAAAAAAAAAAGAAAGTATTTAGTTTTTGTGCAGGATTTATATTAGCTGTATTTTTTTAAAAATCAGGAATAAGATGAATATTGGATTTTGTCAAAAGTTTTTACTACTACTGACATTATAATTTTTTTTAATTCTGTTAATATGGTGAGTTACATTGATTTTCAAATGTTATAACAATCTGCCTTTTTAGGATTAATCCCTATTTGGTCATGATACATGAATCTTTACATATATCTATATATCTGTATCCATATGTAAGGTTCTATTTTCTAAAACTTTGTTTACAATTTTTGTACCTATAATGAGGAATATTGGTCTTTATTATTCCTTCCACTTGCTTTGGGCTTTATTTGCTTTTCTTTTTCTAGTTTCTAAAGGTGGAAACTGAGGTCATTGATATGACTTCTAATATAAGCATTTAGTGCTATAAATTTCCCCATTAGTATTGCTTTCTGGTATTTTTTCAAAAAATTAATTTAAAATACTTTCTAATTTTTCTTTAAATTTCTTCTTTGATGCATGGGTTATTTAGAAGTGTATTTTTATTTTTTAAATATGTGATGATTTCTAGAGATTGTTCTATTATTGATTACTTTAAAAATTTATTTTAATGTTTATTTTTGAGAGATACAGAGAGACAGAGCATGAGCGGGGGAGGGGCAGACAGAGAGGGGGAGACACAGGATCTGAAGCAGGCTCCAGGCTCTGAGTTGTCAGCAATGAGCCCAACACAGGGCTGGAACTCACAGACCATGAGATCATAGCCTGAGCCAAAGTCAGACACTTAACCAACTGAGCCACCCAGGCACTCCAGATTTTAATTTCACTGTGGTCAGAGAAGATTTTTATGGCTTGAATGCTTTTGAATTTATTGAGACTTGTTTTATGACTTAAACTATGGTCTTTATTGGCAAATGATCTGTTTGATCTTGAAAAGAATTTGGATTTTGATGTTAAATGGAGTGTTTGTATCTTTTAAGTTTGTATATTAGGTTGCTTGAACTTGTTCCACAGTTAATTGATTCTCTTTATCTTTTTAATGTTATTTTTTCCTCTGTTTTGTTTTTAATAGTTCTATTATGTCCTCTAGTTTACTAGTCTGTTTTTTTTTTATTGCCTAGTCTACTTAATTCTATTCTGTATATTTTTCATCTCAGCAAACTACTTTTGCTGTAGTTTTTATCTCTAGAAAGTAAATATGGATCTTTTTAGATCTTTCATGTTTCTACTTAATTTTTACATATTGAACATAGTTATTAAAGCCATTTTATCATC